GGGTGTGAGGGTGTGGGGTGGGTGGGGAAGGTTGAGAAAGAGTTTTGGAAAATGCTTTCCCTTCTCTTGATAAGGAAAACATTTTTCTCCAATTGGAGGAAAATGAGTTCAAAATATTTTCCAAAACATTTAACCCAACCAAACATAGAAAAATTGAAAACATTTTCGTACCAAACGCACCCTTTATTATGTAGTGTTTTCTAACAACAGAACTGAATTTCAGGGCAGTTTCATGAAGTTACTGTCTTAAAGTTCGAAGAAGCGCCCATGCTACTGTACAGATTCTATGGTTTTATTTCTTGTCGGAAATTATGTTTATTTTGCATATTTTCAAGTGTGTCAAGTGCACTCTCTTAAAGTTAGCTTTTTTGTATGTTTATTTTTTTATATTTTAATATCGTTAAGTGAAAATTCTGATATCGTCACTGCATACACCCACTACCCATCGCATGCATCCACCAAGAGAAGGAAAATACTTTCGGGAGTTGACGGTACTCTTTTGGACGGTTTAACCCGACTAGTAGATCACGGCTTGCTTCCCATATATATTTCACATGTTTGCCACCTCCTATGCTCATTAGGCAAATATTGATCGACAATTTTCATTTTCTCAAAAAAATTGAGCAATTTAAACTAGGCATCAATATCTTTTCCGATAAAAGATGGGGTTTTTACACAAATAGCTGGTCGAATTTACTATTTATTTTTTCTAGCAAATATACATAGATTATACAATGATTATACATCGATCGCTGGCTATTTTAAGTTTAAGCGCTTGAGTAAACGGCTATTTAAGTTAATTCTTCATAAATAAAAGATACACGGGAAAAAAGCAAAACCAATGGGCAGAAATCCTCAAATATTAAAAGCAAAGAAAGTAATTTGACAGTTGAGGAGTGCACAAAAAGTTTAATGTAAGCATGCCTATGAATAGATATGTAGCCCCCATATGGCAACAACTGTAGCCCAACCAAATAGGTAGCCCTATCTATGTTTATTATATTTACTAATCTTGCTGTTTCTGTATTTGAACTTACAAATAATTAACCCAACATATCCTAGTCTACTGTTATTATTTTTCTATGTTTGGTAACCCCTTTAATTTAATGGCCCCAGAACTGCCCACATGAATGAAAAGCTAGTACTCTTGTAGCCATCATTACTACATGAAAGTATACACATGATATCATAGTAAATTCTGGTTTCTCAATTCAACAGGCATTCCAATATTTATACAATTGTTTACAAACTTACTGCAAATCTTCTCTTTTATCTGGACTTAGAACTCAGAAGAATATATGTTTTACGGGTTCAATATTTAAGGTTCTTAGCGTTAAACTCACTATGCGTTAAAAAGTCATGAGTTTATAACTATTAATTTTTGCAATTTTAATGGATCTTTAAACATAAGTTTGTACAGATATTCCGGTACCACTGCTCTACACCCGCCTCTGTTAGGACCAGGTATGCTTTTGCGATACTTAATTTATACTGCTATTATATGTCTTAACAAGAACTTGATGAACTTGTCCAAGCGCGTGACATTTACAACTATCTAAAATTGATCTTGAAAGTGCTTACACTATTAAAAAAATGGATCTTGAGACTTAGTCAAAAGCAAAAGTCATTTATTATGAAGATTGTTTAAAATCATATAAAAAGATCTGAAGCATGAACAACGACTTTGCATTGACGAGACTGATAAGATGTACCCTGAAATATTTCCTTTCTATAATAGGAATTATACATAACATCTTACTCACAAATATTTCAGCTCCAAGAAATGTAATAATGCAGGAAATGGACTTGGTGAAAAGCTAATCTTGATAATGTAGAAGTGTAGTTGCATTAATGGCTGAAGGAGTGGAAAATGTACCATGTTCCTCTTCTTCATTGACAAATCCATTGTTAGCATAAGAAACAGTCTGAAACTGTGTGTTCAATGGAACACTAAAAGCACTGGACTGAAGGGATTCCCTCTGATAAAACAGCTGGTTTTGGCCTAAAACTGAGGGGAAGTTATGTGATAAAAAGCTGAATGTTGAATCCTCTCTTAACTCTAAATTGTTGTTTGAAGAAAGAATGGACTGATCTTGGGATGACTGGAAATTGAAAAGGCTGTCTTGAGCTTGCTTTTTGGTATCTGAGTGAAAATGGCCTTGTTGGTATCTCTGAAAATCACTTACAAATTGAATCTTGGGGTCATTAGCTGATGAAAGCAAGCTCAAATTCCCAATTGGGCTGTCATTCTGAACTCCACATTCATATTTTGGAATGTCACTATATTCTTGACTAACTTTTGGACTCTGGTCAAGAGCAAATTGGCCTTCTTCGTTTTCAACATTTATTGTTCGCCAATTCAATGCTTTATTTGTCGAGTCAATCTGTCTGGAAAACACTTGAAAGGGATTATTTTCAAGTGCATCAATTGCAGCTTTAGCTTTTTTAATTAGCCAATCGATCGCCTTACTTGGACGGTCATAGCCAAGTCGATCTTGGACATCATAAAATTGAATTGCAGTGTTTGGTGAGAGCCTCACTCGCCTGTCCCTCGGGCCGCTAGCTGTTGAAACCTTGCTGTGCCGGTCTTTTCGTCCTGTAGCTCGGACAATGCGGCTTCTGTGGACTTCTATCACATCTGTGTTGGTTCTCTTTGGCTTCTTTTTTGGTGATACTTTCTTGATTTCTTCTTTGTAACTTGGACATTGTGTGTTATTTTGGTGCTTTGGGACTAAAGCAGGGGAAGTGAAATTAGCCCATTTTGCGTAGTGGGAATCTGTTTGTTTTTGGTAGAATTGGTGGAAATGCTGGTTTTGGTAATGAATTTGGAGGATATTTTCTTGAAAAAAATCCTCTTCCTTTTCTTTTTCTTCTTCTTCCTCTTCTTCTGATGATGAGGATTTGTCTTCTTTATCTGATACTTGAAGTTGATGATTCATTGGAGAAACCAGATTTGAAGTAATTTTCTTCTTGATTTCTTCTAGTTATTGACTTTTAACTTTTTCAAGTGTAGTTGGGGCTTGACAATTGCTTTATACAAAAGAGCAGTGACTTTGGGCCCTCAAATACTAGCTTCCCACTAGCTTGTACTTTGTAACAGCTATAAAAATTATAGTAAATACTGAAATATAGCGAAAAAATCATACTGTTTTGTTAAATACTCCTATAGAATAGGAAATAGATGTCATGCAGGTAAATATCCTAGTTTGTTTATGTTTGTCTACTAATTGCCAATAAAGTATACATAGTTACAAAGACTGAATAACTGGTATATATATAACCAGTGGGGTATGGTAGAATGGTAAATGTCCATCCACCTTTTTAAGTAGAGATCTCAAGTTCATAATTCGAGAATGTAATCCTCTTGGACAAGCTTGGAGCACTTAACCTATTGTATACGGTCAAAACCGGTTAGTTCTTCGTACGAACCGGTCGAAATGGTAATGCATTGGATCAAAGATCAGATTGAGGTCCGAAGTCAGGTCATCAAGTTTCGAGCCCTAGAAACCGATCAATGTCCAGCTCCATATCATTATCGAGTCCGAATCCAAATCGAACTATGATGAAGTTATCGAACTTACGAGATAGAGACCGACCAATACTGTCCCCGAATCAATACAAGGCTCCGAATCAGAATCGAGTTCGAGTCAAGATCGAGAGCTCGAGTCAGTATCGAGCTCGAGTCAATATCGAGCTCATAGACAAGAGCCGTTGCAACCGCACTAGGGGAGAGAATCCTGGCAGGAATTATGGAAAAATAATTTATCATGGGTCTCCCACTATGTATTTTTAATTGTATCTAAAGTAGGATCCATCCACTATAAAGGAGTTGGTTACTATTTCTGTAAAGACCAAGTTTCTATCTACATAGTAACTCAGAGACCATACACTCTTATATTGAAGAGTTATCCTTTTTAGCTATATAGATTGATTCATCTTGCTTAATCCATAAATCATCTTCTTTCCAACTTTGCTTATTTTTCATTCTTCGCAATCAATATTCTATATTTCCATTTTACTCTAACGATTTGTGTTAAGTTATACCACATACCTTTAGAACTACATACAAATTCAACTATATACGTTTTTTGGGTAAACAGTTTAGCGCCCACCGTGGGGCTAAGGATAACAGTGGTTATTTGATACAAATCCGCAAAACACGCCATTGTACGATTGTTTCCGGAAGTGTCTTTGATTTCAGATTAGCAATGACTAACTATCAATTAAATGGCCTTACCTATCGACAACGAAGCTGGCCTTCAAGATGAAAACAACAACTTGACGCCCAGGACCGAAAGGCCGCTTGTCGACGCCGTTGAGGCTCGAGTCGAAGTGCCATTAGACATTAATTCGCATGTGGCCATTAAGGCAAACCTACATTCTGAATCTGAAAATAACATTCATAGTGGCACTCGATCTGCAGCTCGAGATACCCATAACGTCGAAGAAAACAGCGTCAGCTTGCGCATGATTTTCAAAATGTTGCAAGCTCAACAGGCAGCAATAGCTCAGTTACAGAGTCAAACCCAGATACCGAGCATGCCGGAGCCCAGTCCACCCTGAGAAATTGTCCATAGAACGGAACCAGCTATAGTAAGGTCAAATGAGGAAGAGTCGGGGACTAATCCCGAAATTGCTAAGATGTTTGAAGAACTGACCAAACGAATAGAATCAGGTGAAAGGAGGATCGAGGCAAACGACAAAAAGATGGAAACATATAACTCCAGGGTTGATCAGATCCCGGGGGCACCACTGATATTGAAGGGCTTAGATTCCAAAAAATTCGTACAAAAGCCTTCCCCCCCCCCCCC